TGTTTCGTCAGCCGTCACTTCTGTTGAAGAGATTGTTTGTTGGTATTATTAACCCCAAAACGCTTTACACCAAGGAGAAAAAATGTTCAACCCATAACACTATTCCCACAGAAATTCATTTTGCTAGTTTTTCCTAGTCATTACATCTTTGTTGGGTTTAGGTACAATTCTTGGAATTCGCATCGGAGAATAGAAACATTGAAATATTGAAGCTTTGTGATTATATTTTTTCTAAGACATGTTCATTTGTGTTTGTCTTGTTTAGCGACACTTTGCTTTGGACGCGTTGTTACCTTTTCGTATGTAGTTATGTGCTTCAATCCTTATGCATGACATGTACAATAATTAAACTTGTTTTTTATATACACATCCTTTTTACAGTCTACAAAATACTTTTACTGATATACTTTTTAATCGGAATCCAGCTACCCATGTTTCACCGCTTTTTCATTGGCTTTTCTTGTGGAAAGATTACTTGAAAGCAGCTGCTGCTAAGTGAAAACTCGACTTCATTCTTTTCATTTGGCAATGCCGAGCTTTCCAGTTGACGTGCGAAAACTTGCTCCTCACAAGACGACGAATCTAGAAGATGACCGTCATGGTAAATTATCTTAGTGCGTAGTTTGATTTCTCTTCGGTATTCCTGTATTCCGTCATACGATTTGGCCGCACTATGGTCTCGAGCAGCAGTGACTTTGTCACGAAAGATTCTAACCATGCGCCCGAAGTGTTTTTCTGTCCCACAAAACCAATATTTACATGGATATTAAGTGACACATCCACATTCCAAGCTACGATCAGCATTTCATGTATTGCTTGCCCGATCACCGTTTTCCTAAACATCTTGGTAATCATTGCAGTGAAGAAAAGGAAAGAGTTTCAAACCAATTCCAACACTTTGCTTGCCAACTTGGCTGCCGCGGATCTATTAGTCGGCGCTGTCTCGATGCCTTTGACAATCGCTTTGGACGCCTTACTTCTCCAAAAGGTTGTCGGCTACTGGATTTGCAGACTAGCGTTTACAAATCAACTGGTGCTGTATGCTGCTGTCTGTTCGTCTTTATACCATATGACTTTGATCGCTTGGGAGAGATACGTGGCGACAAGAAAGTGGAACTGCTACAAAGCGATTGTCACCAAGAGGCGAGTGAAGACGTACACAGCAATAGCGTGGCTGTTAGCTGTACTAACCACGACTCCTGTACGTATTCTTACGGTTCTAGGACTCGACTATAAGTACACTAAGATCTTGGACACGATCTTCTTTCTTCCAGCCTTAGTTTGCTTAGTTCTCATCGGGTATTTTTATATCATGTTGTATCTCGGTGTGCGCGCATGGAAAAAAATAAGCGACGTTAGCCAACTGGGAGCCCCTACTGAGATGGCAGCGAGGCGGGAACTTGGTATTGCGAAGAGGGTTTTCATTCAGACAGTTGCCATGTTAATATTTTACCTCCCATCGAGTATCGTTCTTTTCTGCGGAGAGTTTTTACCCTTCCTTCGAACAAGCTCGTTTTTCCGTCGTTCGGAGTTGCTGAATCAGCT